CCCCCCCCCCCCCCCTTTTTTTTTTCCCTCCTCTGTACTGCTTGCTAATCCAGCGCTGTCCTCGGGGCTGGCCAGCAACTGAGGACAATGGGCACAAGTCCACCCAGGTGCTTCTGCCAGTAAAGTAGCTTTGCAGGCACCCAGAACTCAATGCAGAGTTCCCAAGTGAAGACTGAACAAACTTACACTCGCGTTGTGAGAATGCACGTGTGTGCGCAGCTGCAGGGAGGGAGAGCACTGAGCAACTGATCCCTTCTTGCAAGAACCACCCCTGTCTGGGTCTAAGCAGAAGTTTTTCTGGGAAGAGCAGTCTTTGCAAGCAGCAGCACCACAGAGACTTCTCACTGACACGAAGTTTCCTGTTGCTGAAGGGAGGAGCATCGGCGTCACTGCTTATTACTGCACAACCTGAAAGCCCGTATCATGAGTGGGGATGGATGGTTAGGTTGCAGTACTGCAGGAGAGGACACGGGGGATGTAGCAGAGGTAGATATGAGTCAACAGTGAACTCCTGTTGCCAAGCTAGCCAATAGCCTACTGGGCTGGCTTAATTAAAGCACCATTTACAAGTGGAGAGTGTGGATAAATCACTCCTCAGTAAATCACCCTCTCTGTCTGCCTTCCTGCTCTGAGGTTGCCCAGCCCCTCTGCCCCAAACTCTGGCTGCTGTTTCCACCTAACCAGGAGAAATTCCTGAGGGAGGTGGGGAGCTCACTCTTTCATTGTCCTGTGTGACCCCAACCCCTCACCTGAGGGTGCTCACATTTATCAAACTGACCTGCCAGCATCAGCCGTGGTCTGAGGATACTGGTTTATGGCTGAGGCCAGGTGATGAGGTCTGAAAGGTTATTTAAAGGGTCCCTCCACCTTGTGGGCAGGAGAGACATCTTTGGGTTACTGAGTCCAGCTATGGGCCTCCACAATTCTCTGGGGGTAGATGTGAGTAACTTACCTGAAATCTAGCTAGGGTCAGATGTAAGTGTTCTAGTCGTATACCAACAGGCTAACCAGCCTATATTGATTTCTTCAAGGTGGGTTTTCCTTCTATATTCTGCTGTTTGTATTCCATCCTTACCCTATCCCTCTTTGATCACTAAATCTACCTGTTTTAGCACATCTTTCTGTGTGCTTCTAAGAGGAAAGGGACCAGCCTCGTTAGCTCACTTTGCTAGGCTTGATAAGGTGGGCTCAGCTTTTTCCTTTCTTGCTGTACTAGAGGCTGCTTGTGAATGCTTCAGGCTAATAAAAGCACCCCAAAATCCCCTCCTGGGTTAAGCATCCCCAAGGTTTACAGGGTCTGTGTACCCTGGATGGCACAGAGCCCTAACAAAGACCCGAGTCCAGGTGGTGACAGCTGTTACCCCAGGCTTGCGAGTGGGCTCCAGAAAGGGGGTTGGCCAGACATAGGTGCCCCAGGGAAGACACTCGGAACATGGTTTTTGGTTGGGTGCAGTGAGGTGGGTGGCTCAGTGCACAAACACCCCCTACTGGCCTACCACACATGTCCTGTTTTAAATTGCCATGAGCCCCTGAGGCAGAAGATGCCCTTGGGAAGATAGGGACAATGAGTTTTGAAGTCAACTCATGCTCACCCTAATGTTTACCTGAATTAATGTTTCCCCACCAGAGTTACTGTTTTTTGCTTGGATTAAAAAACAGTCTTCAGGGTTGTGAAATGGGAGCAGCTACCAGACAGCAGCCTTGAAGAAGTAAGGACCCTGGAGTGGTGGAACCATGAAAGACCATTGAAAAGGCAAGACGGTCATTGCAAATGATACAAGCATCCATTCTCACTGGAACCAAGCAGACGAGCCCCCTGGGGGCTTTGATCGTCTCTGTTGGAGACAAATGGGACAGAGACCCAACCCACCATACCCCTTTCATCAACACTAAGGGCAGCAGGGGTTCAGGACTATGACTGTGGTATGGAGCCATCAGCATTTTGGGAAGATGTGGTGGCCTGTGCTGTGTAACTTTGGATGTTTCATCTTCTCCACCCCCCACCAGTGTCTAAGGACTGTGTGGCCCAGAGAGAAAACCCTGAGACTGTGGATTTGGGGTGTTGGATTAGCAGGAGGGTGGTGCTTCACCACACCTGGGAGTAATCCCCTTGACTTTTGTTGCTCCCTCATTCCTTCCTGTTCACCTCCCTTCCTGCCCCACCCCCACTCAAGCCTTTCCTCCTTCCTGTCTGCTTGGTCATTCATTACATAAATGCCTTTAATCTTTGCTAATGGCTCATTTATTTGTAGTGGAAGCAACCCCAGCATCTTCATGGAAAATTATAACAAATTTTAAAATTTTCCATCTATAGAGTCTAATTATTATATTGGGAGGGGGGGTGATCTTAAATCCAGGCTCATATTATATTTGAGTAAATACCCAAGTTTTTTTAATGTGTTTCAGATATCCAAAGAGGATAGAGCTAGAGAGGAAAGCAAAACTAGGGCTGTGCAAAATGGTGCCATTCCGTTTCAACTTGCATTTCAACAGAATAGTGTTTCATTTTGAATTTCATTTTGATTCGAAACTGCTGTTCCATTTTGTTTCGTCGAAACAGTTTCGCTGTTTCAGTGCTGTTTTGGTGTTTCGTCCATAGGGTATAATAGGGAAGCACAAAACAGCCTATAAATTTGTCATTTCTTGCCTGATTCAGATGAAACTTGCAGGAATGGTTAATGCTGGCCCCTTCTGCATCCATGAAGCCTACCAAACTTCAAGGAGATATATGTAGGGGTTCCTGTGAAACTTCACCTCAAAGTCCTGAAAGCAAACCTCAGGTCAGGTGTGTGTGTTAGCCACATCAGGGTGAAAACTACATGGATAGTGGCCCCTGCTGAGGCAACAATGCCTGCCAAGTTTCAAAGAGATAGGTGTAGGGGGTTCCCCTACAGCCTCAGTCCGGTCCACCATTTTAAACAGCCGCAGGTAAGAGAATCTGATGTCATTTTAGCAGGTCAACTGTATAGTTAGAGAAATGTATCTTAGCAAGCTTTTGGGTTGAAAAACCCTTTGTCAGGCTCAGGAAGCACCTGCAATTCATGTGTCTGCTGGTCCTGGATGGAAGATGGGGGGGGGGGGGGTGGGGGGAGGGGGATGTAGCAGTGCAGGTAAAATTGCAGGGGTACCCGGGGAGTCAGAGCCGGATGCAGGTTGCAGTGTGTCAGAACTCCACTGTCTATGTTGAATCCATGAGTTTCTGTACCTGCTACCTAGGAGGCTGATGAAGTGCAGTTCATAGGTCTGGCTCTGAAAAGTGGTTTGTAAATTCAAACAAGCACCTAACTCAGGGTTGGGCAAAATATGGCCCGCGGGCTGAATCCAGCCCATGAGGCCATTCTGTCTGGCCCACGAGGCCCCTAGACATTTTTTTTCAATTAATATTTATTTGCCTCTGGCTCGAGTCAAAGGTGACAGGAGCCAAGGGCAGTAGGACCCAGCGGAAGCCACAGCAGGCCCCTGAAAGAGCAGGGCCCACCATGACCCGCCCCCCACCACCCAGCCGGATGGGGCATAAGGCTATTCCTGCCCCTGCTGAAGTGGGAAGCTCAGGTAAGAGGGGGTCAGGGGGTACGCTGGTCCTCGTCTGGCCACAGGGCTGGGGTGGGAGGCTGGGAGCGAGGGGGTGCTCGGGAGCTGGCACTGTCAGGACCCAGAGTACAGTGGCTCCCCTCTCTCCCTGCTGGGGCAGCCCAGCCCAGCTCCATAGAGCCCAGCCAGCTGTGCCCCGGGTTCCTGCCAGCCTGCTCTGGGCCGCACTGGCACTGGGCCCAGGACACTGCCCAGCTGTTGCTGGCTCCCAACCCCCCTATCACAGGGGCTGCCTGTGGCTGCTGGTGGCAGCATGGCCCAGTGAGGACGTGGCCCAGGGCACAAGGAGGCAGTGTGGAACTTCCATCCCGTGCCTGAGGCTTGGGGGGGCAGTGGCCCAGCTGCCCCCACTCCCCGCACAGGAGGCTCCAGTGGGTGCTGCCTCCCCAGAGGGAAGGCCCAGGCCTACCCACCCTGCAGGGGCACAGTGGCTGCTCACTCCCTGGCTCCAGGATGGGTGGGGAGGCTGCGCCAGGAGCAGGAGTGGATCCATGACCGCTTTTCTGCTCCAGAAGTTCCTGTAGCCATAGGGAGCCAAGGGGTGTGGTCTGTGTAACAAAACTGTTATTTGGACCCCTAAGTTGGGTTTTGCTTTACTGTGGTTTGGCCCTGCTCCAATCTCTGCTCCTCGTCCCTCTAACTTCTGTCTCAGATCCCCCGTCCTGCTTCTGGCTCACTGTCACCTCCAACACCTGTCCTGATCTCCTCTCTGCCTCCACACCCCGTTTCTTTGCCACTGTCTTATCCCCACTGCCTTTTCCTTTTCCCCTGAGCAACCAGGGTTCTGCCTCAGTTTCTCTCCTGGCTGTCTCCTCCTTGCCACCATTTATCTGTCCCCTCCACCCAATATCCCAGCTGTCTGCCTCAGTTTCCAGCCCCAGTCTACCTTAAGTAAACCCAAGCCTCAGTTCCTCAGCCAGCTTCTCTATAGCCTACTGGTTCTAATCCCGGTTCTGGCAACTTTCACTCCCTACACTTTAACTCTGTCTCGCTCACTTAAACCTTCCCCCAAGTATCCTAGGTACCTCAAATACACACTGTACCATCCAAGTTAGGAACTTACCTGTGTGTATGTATAGGTGGGTTGTATGTGTGTGAACTGGTGAGTGTGTGTGTGTGTGTGTAATATATATATGTCGTTGTGTGCATGATATACAAATTAGTGATCTGTGTCTAACCTTTGGGGTGTATAGTGTATGTGCTTGAATTGGTGATAGGTATGCATGTGCCTAGGCTGGTTTGGATGTGTATGTGCCTGACCTGGTTGTGTGTGTGTGTATGCACCTAAATGATTTGTGTGTTTGTATAAGTGCAATTGTTCACACCCTCCTAACAGCACAATATTGAGATCTTGAGAGTTGGCCTGACCCCATGGGGCAACAGCCTCACCACATTCTAATCTGCACTTGTCTACAAACTTTTTTTTTCTCTCCCTAGATTTTGCATCCCTGCCAAAGAGCCTTGTTCATAGTTTCATAGTTGGTAGGCTTGGAAGAGACCTGAGCAGATCATCAAGTCCACCCCCCTGCCATGGCAGGAAAGCGTACTGGGGTCAAACGACCCTGGCAAGGTGTTCATCCCGCCTCCTCTTAAAGACCCCCAGGGTAGGAGCCAGCACCACTTCTCTTGAAAGTGGGTTCCAGATCCTAGCCGCCCTGACTGTGAAGTAGCGCCTCCTGATATCTAGTCTGAATCTACCCTCTGCCAGCTTGTGACCGTTATTTCTAGTCACTCC